GGTTGCCACAAAGGCTCTAAAGGGACCATTTACAAGGGGTCCCGTGACGTGATTTCGAAAACCTATAATTAATTCAATGGAGGAATAAAATGCACATAATTTTACCCCCAAAAAAAAAAAGAAATAAAAGAAATGCAATATACTATATATGGGAAATGCTAAGATTTCGTTACGGAACCATTTTGTCAGATTTGTAACCATTAGATCATCATGTAATCGTAAGAAATAATTAATCTAACGATTACAAATTCTGACAGGATGATTCCATAACGAGATCGTATCACCTTCTTTAACCATACACGCGTAATGTGGAAATAGTGGGTATAAAATTATTAAAGACCAAATTCTGGAGGGCCCAATTTGTTCCATCAGAATAAAATTCTATGGCATTTAATATTGAATTAGATAGATGCACGTACGCATTTTGGGTGCAATGACACATCTTAACTACCAAATATAAATGTGGTCATCATTCAATGCAATTCACATTATTATTATATATAATAATAATAATTATATATAATAATTCAATACAAGTTCATTTTGAATACCTCTATTTCCTTTTCCACAAATTATTACGTGATATGGACTACAGATTGATCATACATTTTTTTTTATTTAACTAATATATATATATATATAATTATTTAACGGTTACAAATCCCGATCGAATGATTCTGTAACAGGACGACCCGATTAACTTCAGGGATCTTGTCGCAGGTCTTGGACCTAACATTGATGGAGGGCGAGGCAAACTAATTAACATCAATTTTGTTGTGTATAATTTTGTACCATGCTTCCCATTCTTGATTCGTTTATATAATGTAATTTCTTGGTCATAAATTATATATAATGTGTCTTTTTTTAATTTTAAGACAATGGTAAAATGTTTTTGAAGCCTTTTGGTGAAAATAATAGTGGTCATGTTATCATATTACTATGCAAATTTGGCTGGATATGTATTAGTGGGCCACAACTCATTTTTTGAAGAAAAAACAAATACATATTAATAATTAAAAAGGTCAATATATATTTGTCTGCCGACAATACAATATCTCCTCATATGATTTATTACAATTTAAAATTAATTAAGTGAAGGGAATTTTCAATGTTTTACGAATAAGATATTTATAAGTCATCCAATAAGTCATATTTAAAAAGTCGTAAGATATTTATACGTCATTCATGAAATTAATTCTACCACGAATCTGTACTCTAAACTTAGGAATACTTCTAAATATTTCACTAAAACATTCACAAATATTGGACTATAAAACAATATTTAGTATTTTTCATTTTAGCTACTTACATTTATAGTCTTTGATTTGTGCTGCTCTCTAGGACGCTTCGATAAAATATTTAGTATTTTTCATTTTAGCTACTTTCATTTATAGTCTTTGATCAGCCTA